AACACACATTTTCATTTGTCTAGCTGGTTTGATGTATTTTTGTCGTGGTTTGTCTTTTGAAAAGGAAGCTTTCTTATTCATGGTCAAGTTTCGTATTGATGCTTCATACACTTTTCTGGATTTCGAGTTATTTTGCAATTCATCGTTCTCATTTGGAGTCAAACGGACTGTAGAGGTAGATGAATTGGGGAGGTGGGAGGGAATACTTCAGATGCAATAGAGGTAGTATTTTTAGAATTATTAACAATGATAACTATTGTTCGATAATTCTTACGAAACTTCTCCCTCTATTACATATCAGCCAGAATATACCAGAGGGACCCGGTGGGATCTGCCTCTAGTAACTCGCTGTGTAATTGACAGCTTGTAATTGTAATCCTCATCTGGAAACCATAATGTACTGATTCTCATTATACTGAGATAATTTCCTATTGAATTCTCCTTGAGGACATACAAATAAAAAAACTGTGTCAATAATCCATCAAATATGTAATATTATCACTAGATTTACCATTCTATTTGCCAATTTTGACCATAATAAACCTGGATTAGGGACCTATAATACCGGCGATTACGTCACTTCTGGTTCTGACGTCACTTCCAGTATGTCACTTCCTCTTTTTGGTAATGACATCTCTTTAGGTCTATTTCTACCCCAAAGATGTCATTTCCTGGTGAGAAGGGCTTTGTTCAGCTATTTTCCGGTATTTTTCTAAAAAAAGGGTGAAACTATTGTCAGACGATAGTTTGCGCCGTGACCACCCGACCAAGGGAATACATGCCCTGTAGGTCTGGCTGCACGTTACGTAAGTAAAAGCTGGTGAAGATGTTTTGTGAGGCCAACTGACAGCTTGAAACTACTTGTTCTACTGAGACTGTAGTCCATGATGCGAGATTCGTGGCGAGGGCTCTTATTTCGTGAGATGATCTGAGCCTGTGTATAGCTTTGTGCAACTGTTGCCATTATCCATCCTGCTAAAGTAGCCTTTGTGATATCCTTGTTCGAGTTGGTTTCACAGGATAGAAAGTGTCTCCTTCAATGGCGTCTATGTGGGTCTGTAGCCGAGCGATAGAACTTAAGAGCTCTGATGGGACATAAGAGTCTGTCTGGTTGATCCACTGTTGGTCCCAATGCCGGGATTGTATAGTGTCTATGACCCAACGGTCCCATTGTGGTAGTTTGGTTCTAGGCTACAAAGTCTGGCACGATCTCATAGTTATAGAAGTCCAATGTTTTCCTGGCTTTTTGAAGAAGGGTAGCCTTCGCAATGGGTTCGTAAGGTTCCGTTAACAGTGCCGATAAAACCCACAGATAGATTCCACTTGTTGTAGAAAGGATTTCATTAATCTGTTGAGGATGGGATGGTTTCCGATAGATAATCCATCATGTTGAAGTACAGAATGAAGGGCTGTAACCTTCTATCGCCCCGTGTCTGAATTTATTGTCTTGACGTAGATGAAGAAGGAAGTCTGCTATCATAGGGATACAGCACAATCAATAATGCCTAGTCGTCTTTTCCACTGGACAAACTTGTCCCATCTGTTGTCATAAAAAAGGGAGGATGAAGGTCTCCATGATCTTGCCACAGCTTCCGAGGCAAGCTCAGAGTATCTTCTGCGCGATAACTTCAAGGTGGTTAGATGTAGGCTGAGTAGATTTTCGTGGAATATGCTGGACCTGGGCTGTCGTAGCAGATCTCCATATTGGAGCTACCAGTATTATTACACAATTCGTCTCCTCCACCTTGTGGATGACTTTGTCTAGGAGAGGACAAAGTGCGAAAGTGTAGCCAAATAGATTTGTCCAACCCATGGAAAGTGCGTCGATCTGATGAGCTCTTGGGTTGGGAACTGGACTCACATTAACTGGAAGTTGGTTGTTCTGGTAGGTGGTGAATAGATCTATGTGTGGTATGTCCCATATCTTGGTTATCCAGCTGAAGATGTGTGGATGTAATGTCCATTCTGTTGCCACTATTCATCCCCGACGTGAGAGGCTGTCGGCCAGTATGTTCAGTTTCCCGGGTAATAATATATGGCCTACATTTCCCTGCGCTCCATGATCCCTGTACTGTGAGATCGTCCATATGAGCTCTCCATCCCAAATCTGACGTGTCTGTGAATATATGATGTTCTGGCGTCGGATAAGTCAGCAGGATGCCACTCATCACATGTTCTCTGTGATTCCACCAATGGAGGTCTTGTATCAAAGTGGGAGGTAACTGATACTGGAATTCTACGCCCTTCGATTGTCCAGAGTTGACCCATGTCTGTAGAGGACGTAGCCTCAGCCTTCCTCTGAAGGTCGTATCCTGTAGAGATGTCAAGTTGCCTAGCAGAGACATCCACCACCTCAGGGACGTGACTTGAGATTGATTGTATCATCTTTATAGTCTTGTCTAATCGATCCTCTTTTGGACATAGATATCCCCTGTCTAGCTGGAATCTTGCTCTGATGTATATATTGTCTTGGACCAGAGTGATCTCTGACTTGGCTGGGTTGACAATGAAACGTAGGTAAGTCATAAGCTGGACCAATAATATCATGTTCTGATGTAGCTGATTTTGCCCTTGGTCTGCCGCTAAGAAGTCATCCAGATAACCATGGATTCGAACTAGCTGGAGATGGGCGAACTTGATGACTGGCGCTGTAATCCTGGTCAATAGCCAAGGTGTTATTGCTATCCCGAGTGGTAGGACTTGGAATTCGTAGCGTCGGCCATTGATTGCGAAGCGTAGATATTTCCGAGATGGGTGTATTGGGACATGAAGATATGCATATGTAAGATCTAGGCTGATAAGCCAGTCTCCCTTCTTCAACATCGACCGCAACTTCCGTATGGACTCAATCTTGAATTTTGGAGGCGGCCCCAGATATCTCTTGTTGAGGGTCTTTAGATCTATTATCATCCTCATCTCGGTTGCGTTCTTCTTCGGGACTAAAAAGACTGAGGAGTGAAAACCTTTGGGGTTGTTGGACTCCTTTAGTTCCCGAATGGCTTGCTTCTTTTAGCTTCATGATGGACAATTTAGCAGCTCCTAACTTGGCACCGGTCAGGTGAAATCTTCGACCCATGGCGTGTATGTTCAGGCTCGGATGTTTCCTGAAGTGTAGCTTGTAGCCATGAGCCACAACCTCTAGAATCCAGAGGTCGGGCGTAACCTGCTTCCAATTTTTGGTGTATGACAGAAGGCGCCCTCCCACTGGGCCTTGAGTCAGCGTTATATTGAAAAACGGTAGGCGTAAATCGCAATCGATAGAAGAAACCAGGTTGAAAGGGTCTGTATCGTTGGAGGGAGTTGTAAGAAAGTTATTTAGATTTATCCAGGATTCTTAGCTAAGCTAGAGCTAAGTGCCCTTGGCAGGCAAATTAGGGGAAAAATCATAACTTTGTTTAAAAATATTTTTTGTTTTAAGTTCTCAGGTATTTTAAGCCTCTTCTTTATTGGTCCTGTTATTAGTGATACCTCTACAAAGCAATAACATTAGTTGGACTACATTAACATGAAGTGGGATTTTTTAAAATTCTTAGGTGGTTGGCTCAGGATGTAGTGACTGGGAAGATGTGACAATGGCATGATCCTTGCATGCTCGGCTAGGCGGAAGCCATGATTGGGAGAGCCGAGATGTAAGGAGCACGTTCATTGCTTGTGTCTGATTTCCTGGTCACATGGTCCATGAGCGTTGACCTCATGGTTGACGATGGCCATTGTTTATTTGCTTGACTGCTGATCTTTTAAACCTGACCCAGTAGTCCCTTTATCCTCCATGTAATGTTCAATAGTTGAAGGGTCTGATCCTTTGGAAGTATTTGCTCTTTGTATTTTGTTTTTTCTGGGGTTTGTTGACATGACGTCAGTCCTCGCTCGACACTATACTGGAAGTGATCAGAAGCACAGAAATTGACTCTAGGTCTGGTCACCCTAAAGACGCCACATCTGAAATGGTGTTGGCTGACTGGCGTGATACAATTCAGCATGTTGCTGATACTATTGGGATCAGTTTTGGGTCAGTACAGTCCATCTTAACTGACTGCAGGATGGGTACCTAGAGTGTTGAGAACGTATTCACGAACCACTGGACAGTTATCAGCAGAATCCTGACAAAGTTTTCATGCAAAATTTCAACACAGGATGACCATTGATATCCCATTGATCATGACTTTGCTTCTCTGGGACAGTAAGGGGTCAATCATGACTGACTATCTGCAGTGAGGTCAGACTATCAATGGGCAATACTACACTGCAGACCTATGTAGCCCGAGAGAAGCTAACATGTAAAAACACTGAGAAAATTCTGTTTAAATGTGCTCAAGCTGCATTAACTTCAAGATTTACAGTCAAGTTGAAAGTGAAAATTCTATTCACACAAACTGTTCACTGTATACACATGTATGCTGCTATTTGTGTGTGTTATTCATGGGTATCAATTCATGGGATAAAAAGTAACAGTTATGAGAACAATGAATTGGCTTTGTCTCGCCCTTTGTTCTCACAAATATATGTTTATATGCCGTCATTGGTCCTCTATCTTTTAAATAAGAGACGGTATATGAACGTCAAAGGTTATTGCTGCACAGGCTCATCAAAATATGCCAAAACAGTAATACATGTTATTCCGACTACCACAAACTTTGTAGTGTATTGATGCTTTGCATGTTATATGCATAATCATAATTTGAAGTAACGACTGCTCCTTTTATGCAACGCATTTCATGCGCGCATGTGCTTGCTGAGTAAAAACACTGGCCTTTTCTGACGAGATCGAAACTGTGTTTGTCATCTGCTTGAATGGCACATGCTGCCTTGGTTGTACACTAAAATCTTGCTTCCCACAATCTTAGTTTATATCAAATTTTATAACAATACATGCAGAAATACTTGTTGTGATACTTGTTTTTGTTGATCATTTGCAAAACAGTTTTAAACAAAGATTTTTCTTATGGACAAGTAATTTTTCCTTGACATGGAAAATACAGTTCATGAGCTACTTGACCTACCTTCTGCTGTATCTTCAAATTCAAAGCCACATTTGGAACAGAAGTTGATTCCTTCGATCACCTCAGCTCCACATGGGGCACCCTTCAGTTTACCTGGGCACGTTTTGGGTGTCACAAAGAGGGACTTGTCAATCTCCCAGCCACATTTAGTGCAAAAACTGGCATCAGAATCAGAAGCAAGATCTGTGCCACAAGGCCCCTTCTTGCCTGGACACTTGATGAATATCTTTGCTGTTGAAGGGTCTTCAGGGCAATCTGAACCACATTCTGGACAAAAGTAAAAATTTTGGTCCGATTCATATGTGCACTGAGAACCATCTTTCTTCTTTCCAGAACACTTCATTTTTACACATCTAAGCCTGAAAAAAATAAAATAAACAACAATACATAACTGTGTATCATACAAAATCAGTGACTTCATTCAGCGTAAACCCAACACAAACCCCTACCCACTCTATTATCAGCCAGTCAGGAAAAAGCAGTCTGACAGTGGGCATGATCTGTATTGGGGGCAACAGACTAGACCGGATATAAAGGTTTTTCTCGCTTCTCACCCCAGCCCCACTACTTTAAATTAGGGCTGGGACTTGTAACTCGGGTACTTGGGTCGGGTGGGTACTGAGTTGGACCCAGGTACCAACAGGACTACCCGGACCCGTTGTGATATACTGTTTAATGACAAAAATTATATAGAACTCTATGTGGTTACACTAGAGTACACTTATGTCAGCCCTAATGGTTGTAGTACCATAGATTATGTTGTATGCTCATCTGACTTCTTTTATCATATATGTGATTTTGAGGTTGTTCCTCGATGTGACTCACTACATCTACCTGTAACTATGACAACACCTGTGGTAAAATGCTCCGCAGAAACGCAATCAACAGACCGTCGTGTTTGATACACCTTGGTGGATAACAAGCAGGAACAGTTCATACATACATGTAATATGGAATCACCCGAAATTGCAACGAATCAGGAAAAAGCGAGTTTAGAAGCTCTTACTGACATAGACAATAGTGTACGTATCAACGTTTACAGGGTCAATTCTTTCAGCAGCATGTATGTTAAAAAAAAATAATAACAATCATCAACATATTTGTAAAACAAGAAACCCATGGCATGATGATGACTGTCTGTTAATGAATCACGAATGCTGTCTTGCACTTAACAAATTCAGAAAAACTAAAGACAATGAAGATTTGCTGAACTACCATCAAATTAGGAATGAATATAAGACTATTTGTAGAAAAAAACCAAGGGGATTACATGAACAGTAAACGTACCACACTGGAGCAAACTACTGATTCAAAGACATCCTGGAAGAATATCAAGTACTTGCAGAATACAAAAAGTAACTATAATTCCATAGATTCAAAAGAATGCATGGAATACTTTAACATTTACTTAAACAATCTACCATTGAAGAAGATAGTGATTTCTTAAACAATGAAGCCAAACCACTAATAATAGAAGGCGAGGAAATCTCCCGCGACATCCTGGATGGACCATTCACAAAAGATGAAATTATTGACAGTATTAATTCTCTCAAAAACTCTAAATCACCGGGTATGGACAATATTCTCCCAGAATACCTGAAGTTTGCACTACCTAATATTGTCCCTCATGTTGAGATAATTTTCAATTGTATCTTTGATAGTGGTGTTTTTCCAAAAGATTGGGATACAGGTGTTATTATCCCATTACATAAAAAAGGCTCAAAATTAATCAAAGATAACTATAGAGCTATTAGTTTATTGAGTATTTTGTCTAAAGTGTTCACAAGTATATTAAATAAAAGGTTAGTTTTTTGGGCAGATATGTATGACAAAATATCAGAATGTCAATCTGGCTTTAGACGAGGACACTCAACAACTGACAATTTATTTATTTTAAATGCTACTATTCAAAGATATCTGTATGTCTGGTTGTAAGTTGTATGTAGCCTTTATAGACTTCTCAAAGGCGTTTGACTCTGTTCGTCGTTCATATTTGTGGAAAGTATTTGGAAAGCACGGTGTCAGCACGAAGATGTCCAAAATGTTAAAGTCAATTTATGGTAATGTCAAGTCATGTGTCAGAAGTAACAACCTGTTGTCAAACCAATTTCAATGTAATTTATGTGTAAGGCAAGGTTGCGTTTTAAGCCCCTTCTTATTTCAATTATTCATAAATGAAATTGTACACACAATGGAACAGGAGCATCTATATGGAGTACAGTTACATCCTGATATTATACAGTTTTATTATTGCTCTTTGCAGATGATTTGATTTTAATTTCAGACACTATTGGGGGACTACAGAAGGAACTATCTATCTTAGATAAATATTGTGTGGACTGGAGTATGTCAGTTAACATTGAAAAAACTAAAATTGTAGTTTTTCAGAAAGGTGGGCAGCTGAAAAAAAGTGAAAAATGGTATCTGAATGGACAACTTGTGGAAGTCACACAAGGGTATAAATATTTAGGTTTGTTTTTTAGCAGCAGGCTTTCATGGACACAAGCTTTAAGCAACATAGCAGTTCAAGCTAAAATGGTACTAATCAACTTATTAAATTGCATTAATTATTTACAACCTTTTTCTCCAAAATTTCTTTTCAGATTGTTTGACTCCAAGATATCACCTATGTTACTGTATGGGTCAGAAATATGGGCATTCCATAAAATGGAAGAAGTTGAGAAAGTTCATTTATATGCATGTAAATGGTTATTGAATGTTAAACAATGTACATCAAGTAGCGCTGTATTTGGTGAATGTGGCAGATTCCCTTTACATATCAATGCAATGATGAGAGCTTTTCAATATTGGCTACGTTTAATGTGTATGCCGGGTACCCACTTACCTAAAAAGTGTTATGAAATTATGTATTTATACGATAGTCAAGGAAAGAAGAATTGGGTTACTAATATTAGAACAACGTTATTTTCACTCGGATTCGGTCATGTTTGGTTATCACAATCACCTGGTAACGTACACAGAGGTTATCATGCGAGTGTGTTTGGGGATGGTAAATATCCTGTATTAGGAATAAACATTGTATTTAGCGAGCCTTGGCGAGCTAAATACATAGTGTTTATTCCTAATACAGGATATTTACCATCCACAAACACACAAGCGTGATAACCTCTTTATCATATAATGTCATTCTTTAATTTTGTGTTTGGAAATCGCTTTCCCTCCCTCACTAACATTACATTAACATTGCGTGTTTTCCTGGAATGCGCGCATTAATATTTATTACGTCACAGGGTAAGTGATGTGTCAGTCGGACAGTGACAGTAGCCAATATAGTTCCAACTGAAATCTGTTTCTTTTACAGTGGCGAAGCAAAATATACGCATAACAACAACAAAATTTACTTGCATTTCGCGGCAATCCATCGGTCTGTCCGCTGGAGTAACTGCCCTTTGTCAAAGGGAAGCTACTCTAACCCTAGTCTATGAGATGTCATGGCCACGATCAGACATTGTTGACAGTCGGCCTGTCCTGTCAAAACGTTTGAAGTGCAATCAGATGTACACACAGCGACAAAACGAAAGAAGGTAACAATTCAAATATATTTCGGCCAAATCCAACTATTTTAATTTGTGGAAAAGGTTTCAAGCCGCAGAGGTCTACAAGAACAGATATGGCTACTGACCCCGCTTGGCTAGGGCTAGTGCCCTCGCAAAATTGTTTCGAAATTTATATGTCCAAAGTTGCCAAAACTTATAAAATGCCTTAGCGACGTCACAGTTAGACACTGATTTTAAGTATATTAGACTGTTCTTTTGCTTATGAAAGCAATTATCTCTGTAGTTTATCCAGATTCCCGATGGGTAGTTCTGACTCGATTGTCGAATGACAAGGGCGACGCCATGTTTGTTTATAAACACAAAAGGTAGTCCCTACTTGACCTTTGATATTTGCATCTCTATCCGCATATGACCCCAACGGATATCGTTTTTATCCGTTAGCTTTATCCTGCCGAGAAACCTACCCATTATATGATAAAGGTATTTACTTCGATGTTATTTCAACGTTTGAAAGATCATTTTCAACAAATATGGCATAGAAGTTTATGTAATAGCTCCAAAATGTCCTTCTATTCTCATTTTAAATTAACGTTGAAGTGTGAAGAATATTTGTATTGTGTAACCATGAGTAAATTCCGGTCATGTATGTCAAGGTTTAGATGCAGTGCACACTGGCTGGAAATAGAAACTGGTAGAAAACTAAATATCCCTCGCGAAGAAAGATTTTGCAAACTATGTCAAGTTGGCCTAATAGAAAACGAGTTTCATTCCTTGCTAGTGTGCCCTGCATATACTCACCTACGCCATCTCTATATTCCTTCAAAATATTATTTACACCCAAATGTCCATAAGTTTAATATTCTTTTATCTACAACCAACACAAAGCTGATTATTAATATCGCTAAATATCTGTATAACAGTAAAGAAGAGAGAACACATATTTTATCATTGTGACTGTTGCCATAAATATTCCATACATTTTGTACAAAGGGCCTGTGGCCTGTACTGTACTGAATAAAGAATTCAAAAAGAATTCAATACACTACAAGTCACTGATGTTTGCATTTCTTTTGGACTATGCACCCATTCCTTCTGACATTTATATGTTTGAATAAAGATATAACTTCAGTAAACTTCAGTGTATGTATGGGGTAGAATAGGTCTTCAGCAACCCAAGCTTGCTGTAAAAGGCGACTATGCTTGTTGTAAGAGGCAACTAACGGGATCGGATGGTCAGGCACACTGACTTGGTTGATGCATGTCATCATATCCCAATTGCGTTTATTGATGCTCATGAAGTCAATCAGTGGATTGTCTGTTCTAGACTTGATTATTTACACACCGCCGTCATATAGCTGGAATATTGCCGAGTGCAGCATTAAACAACAAACAAACAAACAAAATCTTTTTATATGTGTATGTAAATAGTTTTTACCAGGGCTCCGGTCAAACCCAACTCTTGAGACCTACAGGGGTACCCAGGTAGGGTCGAGTTATAGGAGGGTGGGTAACCGGGTAGTAAATTTGAACTCGTCCCAGCCCTACTTAAATATTTCCTTTCTTTGGCTTAAGATCACTAAAATGAATTTAATTGTTTGTGTTTTGTTTACATTAAGGACGCATAATACAGAGATGAGGTGAGGTGGGGTGAAATGTGGTTTAACCTCTGGTCCAAGATGACTGCACTTGTAAAGCGATGTGCATGCACAGCTTATACTAGTCCGGTAGACTGTCTACTGTCAAATGATTTGGCAAGTCCATATTGCCTCAGACTGAAATAAAAGATTGTTCTGGGCTCCATTTGGATTTAATTTTGATTTTGTAGATGAAAGATAACTTTATTTCTGGGACTAAATGTCTAGCCCACTGAGATACCTAGCCGCAGCAAGACATGAATACCCTAATAAGACACATGATACCAATCTGACCAGTCCTTGTTTAAGCCCTGTAACATGCTTAATGCTATTCACCAGCCAGAGTAACAAGTACCACCTTTTAACCTCTTTTTGGTTTCCCATGGCCAGAGCAACAAACCTTCCTCTCTCTGGGCAGGCTCTCTATCCACTAGGTGGTCATTTGTTAATGTTCATGAAATTGGAGGCAACAAAGATTCAACAGTAGTAGTTAGAACAATAAAATCTTTACTACTTACAGTATAATACACTGATATTTTGTGCCACCAATGCCAGTACCTTCAGTTTTGCTGTGCTGCATTTGTGCTAATTTGAACAAGATGTCGCTGAACATTGCAGCATTCATTCTGAAAACTCGAGATGTTTTACAACTACTGTAAATTGTAAGGCCTTCACTGCCATTCCCTCAAAGATGCCAAAACCACAACAAAATCACAACCATCCACTTCCAAGCGGACTTAAATCACAACTTTTATGGTTGGTTGGTTGGTTTGTTGTTTAACGCCGCACTCAGCAATATTCCAGCTATATGACGGCCGTCTGTAAATAATCGAGTCTGGACCAGTCAATCCAGTTATTAACATCATGAGCATCGATCCACGCAATTGGGATAGATGCATGCATCAACCAGGTCAGCGAGCCTGACCACCCGATCCTGTTAGTCGCCTCTTACGACAAGCATAGTCGCCTTTTACAGCAAGCATGGTACAACTTCTATGAGTGAGTGAGTGAGTATGGTTTTACGCCGCTTTTAGCAATATTCCAGCAATATCACGGCGGAGGACACCAGAAATGGGCTTCACACATTGTACCCATGTCGGGAATCGAACCCGGGTCTTCTGCGTGACGAGCGAACGCTTTAACCACTAGGCTACCCGACCGCCCCTACAACTTCTATGAGACAAATAGAATGAACCAATACTGGGATGACCATAAAGGAAGGCAAAAAACAGTAACTGGCAATGAGTGAGTGAGTATGGTTTTATGCCGCTTTTAGCAATATTCCAGCAATATCACATCGGGGGACACCAGAAATGGGCTTCACACATTGTACCCATGTCGGGAATCAAACCTGGGTCTTCGGCGTGTCGAGCGAACGCTTTAACCACTGGGCTACCCGACCGCCCCTAACTGGCAATGAACAGCAACCATTTTCTCATAATGATCACAAAGATGACCTTGACCTTTTGCCACTGACTTTGGCAAACTCCTCAACAGAAATCAATGGCAGTGATATTACCAAAGTGTAATGAAAGTGTCACACACTGGGGAAAACTTGTGACTTTGGGTTTTGTAGAATGAGTTAAGATACATGTAGATATCAAGTTTCAAGTCTGCCTCTACAAACAATGATCTAACCATGTTTAATAAGGGTCCCATCCAGGGCATTATAACCATTAATACTTTCTGAAGAAAGTGAAACCACAAACATTTTAGCCAGGTCTTTCTCTTTCTATAATTTGACATTTGACCTGTGTGCCAATTAAATGGCATGGTGGTGAAATTTCAAGAAAACCTCAAACAAAGCAGTCCTCACTTCCCCAGTATGTGCCATAGTCTTTGGCCTCTCTGGCGTTTTATGTGACAATGGTTACTACTATATATGAAAAACAAACAAAATAACAATCAATAATGTCTGATGGGAGAAAAGGGTACCATGTATTAATTATATTAATTGCGGATTTGTGTTTATTTTTTTCACTAAGATATGGGACCATTTTTTCCAAATTGTCTGTGGCCATTTCTTCAAGGGGACATTTTCTCCACAACTAATTACTGGTGTTGATATCTCTTTCTGCCCTTTCAACCACACACGGACAGACAAACAGACACACACAGGAACCCATTGACAGGAAAGGACATAATCATAGACTCGGACCTGGGGTTGTTGCTTTTCCATGATGGATCCGCCATTACGCCCATGTTCTTCCAGATTGGGGCCTATTTATAAATCTCCGGATATCGCCATGAAAGACTGCTTTTCCTCGTTCAATATATATTGATAAAAAGCCCTTACCTCGAAGTCAAACGTCTATGTTGGTTCACGATTTCCAGTCATCATACCATCGCTTGACAATCCTATCTGTAGTTCACCTGCCACCTATTGATAGCAAGTACCTCCGACGTATGCTGACTAAACGTTCTTTCCTGGAAAACCCTATTTTCGGTTTCGTTTTACAGTTCCGCGAATGTGACGTGTGTATTGCCGAGCAATCTCAGGAAAGCCTATTTTCGGTTTCTATTTTCTGTTACAGGAAAGGGAGTCGCATATGAAAAACGTACAGTTGTTGGCAATAATACTTTTATATACACCATATGAAGATACATAAGTTATGTTTACACCGTCCGCCCATCCAATAGCACTAAGTGAGGGTGGGAATGTTGCACATTACCAGCTGATTACATACGAAGCACATGTAATACGTAATAATTCCATGTGCTCTACGGCATTATTGACATTAATATTAATGCAGACACCATTATATTGATAAGTCAGTAGAAAAAAACGGGAAAATATATTCAACCAGACATTTACACTAACAACCATATTAATGTCTCAATCTAACTATTCGTCCCAAAGAGTACCGAGGGAAAATAAGCAGACAAAATCAGTCACGGAGAAATAATGTAAATTTCGTCCGAAGTCTTGTCTGTTAAAGTTCTTTCATGACGACATGTTCGGACAGTACCATATTGTCGCTGAACAGTGGAACCAGTTCATTGTACCAATGTGGCAGCGCCCACAGCAACTCTTCCAAAAGTTCCTTGCGGCCAACCAAATATACTGAACCAAATTAAAAACTTCACAATCCTAAAATTTTAACATTTTGACCAGTTATCATTGTGGGCCCTTATTGTGTATTTAAACAGTAATGGCCACGTAGGGGAAACCAGGGCAGAGCGCGCCTTCGGGGCAAAGCGAGAAAGCGTTACCGTCCCTTATCAGCCGTCAGATGGCGTGATTTTAAGTGATCATCCAATGGGAGCAGACGTTAAGAAGCGCCCAAAACCACGCTGACGCCATTTGTACGAGTAGTGAAGGTACGTTTCTAAAAATACGAAAAAATGTGATTTTGCTGTAAGGAATGTACATATTTTAATGCGTTTATTGTGAGAAAACGTAACATGATATCCAAAACATTTGTGCATTTGCGAAACATGTTGGCATCAAGTATCTTTTGGGAGTTAACATGCGACAGTTCGAGACCCAGTAATTACGTGTTATTTAATTTTCCAGTGATACTGTCATTGGGGTAAAAGGAGCCCGGGGGTGCGGTTTGCCCCATATGATCTGATTGATTTTGTTTGTTTTCCAGGATGTTGGTAGATGGTCTGGACAACTGTGTCAGCGGGGGAAACATCATATATCAACTTACAAGAAGAGAAGTTGGACAAACAAAAGCTTCATCTCGGGGAATTTCAAACAATTATCTTTGTATACTGTTAACGAAACTCTTTTTTTCCGAACCCGACGATGACACTCAGATGAACATTGTTTTTCTGCTGATTAATTTGACTAGAAGCCATACTTACTTTGGTGAGAAGTCAACTGAGGCACTGAGAGAGATTTTTACATCACACAACTTCGGGCCTGAGCAGGATCCCTTGTCAGTTATTGAATGTGCACGGATGTACCTTAGAAGTGTTTCTCCACTCATAGATTGCCAGTACATCTATATTTGTCAAGACTACTACCTTATCGAGGCCTATGTTGATGACTTGCGAATGTAGACTTTACAGAAGAAAATGGTGAGAAACTATATCAGAAAAACTAAGCAAGGCAGCTATGGTTGTGAAGCCTTAAAGCGTGCACTAGATGATATCAAATCAGGAAAATCTATTCGTCAAGCATCAAGAGACTATGAAATTCCCAGGAAGACACTCCAGCGGCACGCTAAAGGACAGGTTAAAAACCCTGGGTTATTAGGCAGATTTAGGAAGGTATTCAATGATACATTCGAGTCTGAACTAGTTTCTCACATTCTGCGTATGCAACGGATGTTTTACGGATTGACCTCCACTGACATTCGTTCATTGGCCTTTACACATGCAGAACAAAATGGCCTTGACCACCCTTTTAACAAAGCAACACGGAAGGCAGGGGAAGATTGGTTGAAGGGCTTTATGCAGCGACATCCAGATTTATCCACCCGAAAGCCGGAAGCTTCCAGTATATCCAGAGCTGTTGCTTTTAACAGACCATCTGTGAACATTTTTTTCAACCTCCTCAAGGCCGAGATGAAGAAGCATTCATGTTAGCCAGATTCGATCTGGAATATGGACGAAAGTGGTATTACCAATGTCCATCGTCCACGGAACATTTTGGCAAAACGGGGCGAAAAACAAGTGGGAAAGGTCACGAGTGGTGAAAGGGGAAGAACCGTGACTGCCCTCTGGTGCATGAATGCATCTGGGACCTACATACCTCCTATGCTTATATTCCCCCGAAAGAGAATGTCGCCTGCTTTGATGAAGGGAGCACCATCAGGGTCTATTGGAAAGGCAAGTGAGTATGCAAAGCCATCTCAAGACCGAAAATGCTTGCTCATTCTGGATGGACACAGTAGTCACAAAACTCTAGAGGCTGTCAACTATGCACGTGATCACGGAATTGTCATTTTTGTGTTACCTCCACATACCACTCACAAGCTGCAACCCCTAGACAGGACATTCTTTGAGCCTCTCAAGGCTAACTACAACAAAGAACCTGACAAGTGGATGCTAATGAACCCAGGCAGTAGAGTTGTATTCTTTGACATGGCACAATTGTTCGGCGCTGCCTACACGGTGACGGCAACCACGCTGAAAGCAACTAATGGCTTTACCTGCACTGGGATATGGCCCTTTAACCCGGATGTTTTCACTGATGACGATTTTGCAGGCTCCACTGTTACGGATGAACCCGAGCCTGAAACACAACTTGCCCAAACAGCCTTGCCTCAACACAATCCTGGGTCAGGACCTATGCAACATCAGATGCCATATTGCTACCAGACAAGCCAGATTCAGGCCCTGGAACATCTGATGCCGTATTGCCACCAGACAAGCCAGATTCAGAGCCTGGAACATCTGATGCTGTATTGCCACCAGACAAGCCAGATTCAGGGCCTGGAACATCTGATGCCGTATTGCCACCAGACAAGCCAGATTCAGGGCCTGGAACATCTGATGCCGTATTGCCACCAGACAAGCCAGATTCAGGGCCTGAAACATCTGATGCCGTATTGCCACCAGACAAGCCAGATTCAGAGCCTGGAACATCCGATGCCGTATTGCCACCAGACAAGCCAGATTCAGGGCCTGGAACATCCGATGCCGTATTGCCACCAGATAAACCAGGGTTACATGCATCAACTCTTACAGAACTGACTGCAGGTCCTTCAATCGAACCCCAACAAGATGTAAGAAGACAGATTGAAGTACTTTCACCACTGCCAGTGAAACGCAAGATACGGAGCCGAAAGAGAAAATCTGACTCTTCCATGGTAGTTACATCATCACCTTTCAAGAAAATGATGGAGGAGAAAGGACAGAAGAGATCAAAGAAAACCAGCACCAAGGCAAACAAGAAAGTTGCTGATGAGTCGGAGGTATGGCACTGTTTGTACTGCAACGAGTTGTACACAGAACCACCTACCGAGGACTGGCTTCAGTGCATTAAGTGTAGACAATGGTTCCTTGCAGAGTGTGGAGATGAGAAGGATATTTGCGATCTCTGTTGTTGAAGTACATATATCTTTCTGAACCGTAATTCCTGAGAACACGTTAAGACAAATGTTGTCTCTCCCAGTTTGTGTTTTCATGTGTATTGTTTTGTTTAAACTAAGAACTAGTTATATTTGAATATGACCAGGAGGAGTTGACTGAGTGAGTTATTGTAGACACTTTGATAGGAAAGTGTTGGTTTGCAAAACCCATGTTACAGTTATTATTTAGTTTTGAAGTTACCTTCTTTGCATTCTTGTGAACAGACTGAATTTTACTGTCAGTAATATTATTTGCAGTTATAAAAGAAACTGGAAAATATATTATCATCGAGCTGTTATTTGTGAAAGTGGGGTAAAGTGGCCAAGCACTGGTCATTTTGCCCCAACCTACAGGGCAAAGTGGCCAGTGTTTGTCAAAACACATTTACACAGATGTAACTTAATACAGCTGTGGAGGATTTTAATAACATGTACCATAATGGTGTCAGCTTAAAGGATGTTGCAGTTGTGCTGTGAGTTTAATTGTATCTTTGTTTAGAACCACAGCATTTAGACGAATGTGTTAGAGGGTGCACTTTGCCCTGGTCTCCCCTATTGTCTTCAGATAACACCCGTTTTTGTGCAGGTGAATCGATCAAAATCATGTGCACAGCACTATAGTGGCAAAAGTGTTTTTTCACGTGCAACTGGTCACGTGGCCATAATACCGCACGTGTTTTCAGCCACACTTGTTAGCAGTCATTAACTAAAAAAGAAAAACAAGAAAACAAAAGTCTTAACGGCCATTTGTCATGGCGTGAACGTGCCATCGGCATGTTGCAGACGGGAACGTCCGTAGCTTAAGTCGCAAGGACGATGGGTTGTAGTCGACGGACTGTTTATGATTTACAGACGCGTCTACATGCAGCAAACGGGTACCACCGCTGATCGCCCTCGGCCAGGTCGACCACGTGTGACGTCACATGCAGAGGATCGTCAGATTGTCTTACGTCACCTCCGTAACCGATTTTTGACGGCTACATCAACCAGAAATGAACTGTTTAGGGGTAGACTGAGTGCGCAAACTATTCGAAACCGTCTGAGAACTGCTCACCTTCAAGCACGATTCTGACTCAATTACACAAACGTCAACGTCAACTGTGGGCACAGCGACACCTACGATGGACTCAGAGGAATTGGAATCAAGTCGTCTTCAGTGATGAATCCCGATTTAATCTTCGATTTGCTCTCTGTAGGGAGAGGGTGTGGAGGCGCCGTCATGAATGTTACGCCCAGTGCTGTGTACAGGAAGATTTCGAGGCGGAAGTGTCATGGTGTGGGGTGCTTTCTGTGGCAATGCACGTTCCAGGCTTCTTGTCATCCGTGGCAACCTCAACGCTGCTGCGGTTTGATCTTCCAACACGACAATGTCAGACCCCACACAGCAATTTTGACAAGGAATTTCCTTCAGAATGCGGGAGTCAACGTCATGGACTGGCCGTCAAGGTCTCCCGACCTCAATCCCATCGAACACGTCTGGGATGCTCTTGGCAGAAGTCTGCGCACTCTCCAGAACCAACCACAGAATTTGCAAGATCTTGGCACCATTTTGCAGCAACAATGGCGTCGTCTTCCCAACCATGTGTTCACAAGCATCACACGGTCCATGCGGAGGCGTTGTGTGGCAGTTGTCAACGCACATGGTGGCCATACACGCTACTGAACTTGTGTGCCATCAGATTCTCGTGCTTGGGACTTATGATTTAAACTGTTGATGTTATTACCGAATACCGTAGGTGCTTGGAACAAATTATGGTTACCACCGTTAATTAAAATCCTTCTTTGGACATTAATGATTAAAAATTACCTTCTCTGATACATTTGTCCGTTGTATATCATATATGGGATTACTTTTAAAAATGTGAAGTTTTAATTTGACTCAGTATACTAATGATTGGTTGACTCGAGATACTGTAAGCGTTTACCTATAATCGAAGAATGCAGTAATCTCGGTGAAAAATCGGAAGAAATTCCATTTCGAGCCGAATACGGGAGGTACTATTCACCTACTGTTAATTTCAAAGGCGAAGGCGTCTGTTGCATAACAGATGATGTCTGTTAATTGTTCATTGTGCAAAGTTTTCATAAAAGAAAGTAAAGTTTATATGCCTGTTCATCTGTTTTCATACAACGTCAAGATAGTACAAATATCTTCTTCTTCCAATGTTTTACTAAGTAACGGGTCTTTTTGTTTTTCTGTGCGTCATCATCTCCTTCCTTAACCTTATAACGTGGCCGCTTTAATTATTATATTTTTGGTTTAGTTTTTTCCCCCATATTTTCTCAACTAAGTGAAAACAGTTACTGTTATAATACATAATACGGTCGTCACTCAACCGCAAAAGAAAGTTTTTTGTTTGTGAAATGAACAAAATAATAATTTGTGTAAAGAACTATATACAAACGTAAAGAGACGCAGTCGTTTCGTCTCGTTTGACGTTTTTTTGGCACGTGCAGTACAAATCACATGATAAATGCGTGCATTTTCCCCCTTGTCCATCTTTATAAGCCACCATATACAAAAGAAACCACCAAGCATTTCACACTCGACATTGGAGGTGGACAGGAAACATGGTTCAATTAAATGAACCCCAGAGAGGCGTTGCCATTGGGATGCTACAGGCCGGATCAACGTCAGCTGCAGTGGCGAGGCACTTTGGATGTCATGTGTATATACCATCATAAGATTGGTCGAAGGCATCAACAGACAGGAAGTGTCCAGCACCGAGACCGGCCTTGGCACATTTCGTCGTCTGAGAGCGGCGGGAATCAGATGTCGTCGTCCTTACGTCGGGCGGCGTCAACCAGGGAAACAGTTGTCTTCTCAGACGAATCAAGGTTCAACCTTTCTCACGCCGATGGCCGCATCGGAGTGTGGAGACGACGTAATGAGCGTTACGCTAACTGCCGTGTCTTACAGGCCGATCGGTAGGGAAGAGGAAGCATCATGGTGTGGGGAGGTTTCAGTTATCATCACAGGACCCCTCCACTCGTGTTTCGTCAGCATGTGACTACTGTCGTGTACAGGGATGATGTTCTTTGTTCTTGTAACCTCAACTCCAGGTCTTTCGTCAGGACAACGCTCGTCCCCATACAGCACGGGCCTCTATGGACATCCTCAGAGTGAATAACATTCCTGTGATGTCTTGTCGTCTTTGTCACCGAACATGGCGCCAACTGAGCATGTCTTGAACGATATTGTGAGACGTCTTCAGCCCGCAAGGCAGCCACATACACTTTAGGTTGGTTTGTTGGTGTGTTGTTTAACGCCGCACTCAGCAATATTCCAGCTATACGACGGCGGTCTGTAAATAATCGAGTCTGGACCAGACAATTCAGTGATTGATATCATGAGCATCAATCAATGCAATTGGGATCGATGACATGCATCAACCAAGTCACCGAGCCTGATACCGTTAGTCGCCTTTTACGACAACATACACTTTAGGAACTGGAAGGATGTTTAAAAAAACATATATTGTTGTCATCAAACAATCAACGCCCATTTGTTATCAAATGTTTTCTCTATCATCATTTCTTAATAGTATCTAAATATATTTGATGGCATTAACGTTATCCGTATTTTATGTACAACTTGCGTTTCTTTTGCGGTTGAGTATATGTAATTAATATAATAATGTGTAGTCCCAGGTATCCCTGTCAACTGCTTCATCCTGACAACCTGGTGGTGAGGTCAGTGTCACAGAGAAAGGACTCTTGTCAATCATTGCAGCTTCAGTGATGGAAAACATACAAGACTGTTGTCATTAATAGAGAATTATCTTCCTATGTTCCACCAAGGTAAAATTGGGAAAGACACTGATAAGCCTCCAAAGAAATCTTTCGATGACTCATGAAACAAGTACTGGCATTTTATTACTGACAACATCGGCTCGGAAAAACGAATGTGATCTGTAAGAACAAACATACGACAATAAAATAAACACCCCTATTGTCAGCAGAGGTTACATCAATCTCGTTAAAATCAAATCTTAGTTCTCGCTGCCGCTAACGGAAGCGAGAACTAAGATCTGATTTTAATGAGATTGAGGTTACATTTAATTACGATATTGTAGCACAACCACCACGTGACCGTATGACGACCTACACCCTGCATCTCACCCCTATTGTCAGACGCCGGATCTCCTGAAGGGGCAACTGCAGCCAGTGCTGGTGCCAAACTGACTCCAAGTCACGCACATTCTGTACAGAAGGATCCAGTGCCTGTATACGACGCCCAAATATGTCCCAAATATGCTCCAGCGGATTCAGATCTGGACTCATTGCGGGCCAAGGCAAAGCCGTCACATCATTGTTATGGAGGTCGGCTGTCACATTGGTCTTGCCTCAAGTTGGTGGTTGTCGAAATGGTGTAAAACAACTGGTTCCAAGACATCTTGGATGTACTGATTACCTGTGATGTTGCCTTGTACGGTGACCATGTTCAGCCTCCAATTGTGTGAGATACACCCCAAAATAATCATCGAGTTTGCCCCATTAAGGACAGTTGACCTGATGTTCCAGGGTGTGTGTAGACAGTATTCCTGTGCCTCCAAACCATCACTGACATGGAGCAGGGACCAGCTTTTTCAGCCAAGTTCTCAGTTTCTAGGCCTGTCGTGCTGAACAACACGACAAACAGAACCTCTGAGGTGATTTTCCATTTTTGTGTATTTTTTTATGTTTATTTATTTATTTTTATTTATTTTTATTTGTTTTCATTTTTATTAGTTTTTGTTTGGGGGGGGGGGGGGGGGGGGCTCATTCCTGTTGCTGTTGGATAATGTGGGCCTGAATTTTTTTAAAGAAAATTACCTTGCATGACACATTCAACACAGCTGTTTAGATCGAAACAGTTTGAATGCAGTGTTATCGTGTGGACAAGGAGGTGATAGCTTGCATTTGCGTTGTCACTATCTGACCTTCGTAGGTTTCTTTTATACGTTGGACATGTACGCACTAGTTACGAGGAAAGGCGATTCACATGTAACACTTATTGTGTACTGTGAAATATACTACATATACTGCATATGATTATAGTTAGCCTGATTCAAAGTTCGTATATGGAGTTCAACGTTAGAGGGTCACTCAAGGAAGAAACTGTGTATACGTAATATAGGCACATTTAAGATGTACACAATTCCCCGTCTAATTTTGTCAGATGTTTTTTTTTAATTTCAAGATAAAATTTAGTAGTTTTGGAAAATGTCCAGATTTTGGAGACAGTCCACTTGACTTTGATGACAAAATTCAGAAGTCATTATAGCAGATGGTGTCGTGGTGGTTAGCTTAGATTACGTGGCCTATGCTAGAGTACGCCTCACCCCTCGAGGCGCGTTATTGTCCAAAGGGTTACAAGCGAACATAAATACACAAGTGAAAGTCGATATATGAACAGAGGCCATATAATAATATAATAGATTATTATATGGTCTCTGGTATGAATTAATAGACAGGCCGGTTGCATTCAAGTTTAAGGATTTATATTTATTACACTAGACGAGATAACCCAGCAAAAACGTCATGGCTTTAGGTAAGTATTACACATTGAACTCCCATAGCGTGAGATACGTCTAGCAGGCAAATACACGCAAGTTAGCTACAATGATTAATAAACTAATTAGTTTTAACATACAACAGATCCGATCTAAATACACAACGGGTATTAAATATATCTTAGGTATAAATTGCCACGACCCCAGTCTCACTATTTAAAAAAAAAAGAGATTAACATCGGCTCAAACCACCTGTTACGTAACCAGCGTCTGTCTTCATAGATATAATAGACGGACAGGGTTACCCTCGACAGTGACAGGTCTTTGACCTTGCGTGGGGAACCAACGCGGCATACGAACTATGTTCGGGACTCTCTCGACGAGTATGCTTCTGCTGCTGCTTTAAATGTTGAAGATGTCGTCTTCTGCCTCAACACTATTTTGCCTAGCATGTTGAGCATGAGTAGCCTTGCTGTGGCTTGAAATATTTTTTAACAATTTAGCAAACTTTGATATGTAAACAGCAAATATTATTCAGTTTTATGTCATCTTAATTGATAAATTATATTATAAAGTATTTAGCAATTCTCTGCTCCCAATTCCCTCCACTCCAGCATGTGGTTGATCCTTCATTAAATGTTCTTCATGAATACTGTAAATCATGAAATTAGTCACCAAATTAAGGTAACTGTAGACCGATTGCCTATAAAATAGATCATGAAATTAATGCGACTAGCCCTGCATTTGAACTGTAAAAGCCATTCAGCAAACAAAAACACCAATCCTGTAGAACTTAATTTCTATTATGTAGTTTTGGCTGAAAAAAAGTTCGATTGAAAACTATCATTCGCTGCTCCTAACTTTCAACTATGGCCGTCCCTCCAACAGACCATATACCCACTTCACAGATAATGGATGGGCCAGGTCACGTTTTCCCAACTGACAAGCAAAGTTGGACCCTAATTGGATAACCTCTTTCCTGGTATATATCCGTATCTGATGGATGTCATGTATGTCACATGGTCAACAAGTCTAGTTTCTTGCTCCGCATTAAAAAAATGGAGTCGCACCTGTCTTGACAGTGTCATCATCGATCTTGCCTTTTAGTGTTTCTCTGAGAAGTTTAATGCGGATTTATGAACTGCAACTTCATTGTTTTTTACTTCTAAGGAACCATTAGTCACGTGATCTTTATTGACATCAAGACAAGCAGACGACGAGATGCGAGAAGGGCGGTGCTCACAGTGTATACTTTATTTGATGTTTTGTAAATATAAAATTTGGTATTAGTTGTCTGGGGCCATTTATCTCAGTGTTGGACATTTGATTTTTCTGTACTCACGTGTAATGCAGCGATTCGATACATTTTTGTCAGCAAGGCGTGGCAGTGTGTGTTCATCAAAAGTACCGCTAGTGACGTCATACGAGACTAAATTTACGAGATAGCACGATAATTACTGCGATCCACGAATCAAGGTTATCCACGAATTTAGGTAATGGTTGTGTATGTGTGGTGCATTTAAGAAAGGAAGTGAAATTAATTTTCAATATAAATATGTTTAAAAATCACAGTACATGTTGCTGGAATGTGCGTTACAAAGGCAAATTGACAAATAAAATGGAGATATTATATCGCGACTTGAACCGCATCCGATGACTTCATATGAAAATTGACAACGAACGCCTAAAACCCAGGATTACTTCCCTTTGAACAGCTCTCGCGTGCACTTGTTGTAGCAACGAAACAACCCCCTATGACGAATAAATTCTACGTTGTGTTGCTCTTCAAACATACATATTACACACAAAACAAGGTTTAGCGATGACAGGGGATTGCCAGTGTTAGTAGAATTGTGAGTAGCTAGTTTTAAGAAATGATAAAAAATGAAGCTGTATATTATTTACTGATAAGGAGGCTGGAGCAGGGGAGGTAAGTCTCGTGTTCGTTTATGTTTACTGACATTACAAGACTACATGGAAGGAGAAATGTGCACAATTTCAATATGTTGGGACATGTGTCATCGAAACATATGTTCGTTAATAATGGTCCCAGTGTGAAAAAAAATCAAACACTGGAAAACCGTCTTCAGATTTAACCTTGTTCGGGATCATACTGCCAGTGTTGTCGGTATAAATATTTATACACAGCAGTAGGTATCTGTATGATAGAATGTATAGAGGGATATGTCAATACGTGTCTGCTAGTGAATGCAATTGCAACTAGAATATATAATGTCTGTGTAATTTGGGGTACTATATACTTGTGGTATTATGTGTGGGCACTAATTATACTGGCTAGTGACCAGGTATCGCCATTGATTTCGTGTTATTTCTGACATATATTCCATTTATAAAGTGTACTGTACCAAAGACGTATATAGATATTGGATATACGTCCGTGACTGTACCAAGAACTTTGATTTTTGTGAAACTATGAGCAAATACCCTTCTTTTTGTCACGAAAATTGTTTGAGGAGATTTCTTTTATAATGCGACGAGAGGGAATCAAAACAGTTTGTAATAGAACTTTACCGTTGACTAACTGTACCAGTTATCGCAATCGTTTAAACAGCATGTGCCACGTGATCACACACACCACTTCAGTTATACATTGTATATTTAGTTATGTATTTTTTGTTATCTCTGGTGTCACACTCAAATTATTATTTCGTGATATATATAGCAAAATTAGGTTTTAGAATTGTGTTTTGGGGAAGAAATGACCGACAGATGGTAAGCAATGACAGAACTGAATGTGCATCTTCGTGTCGTTGAAATTCTGTTTATGCGAGAAATCACGTGACACCATTCACATGTCTTTTCTGAAGTTGTATTTGAGCTTACATGGTGTGTTTTTTTATATGTGTCACTTTTGTGTATTCAGATAAATATTTCTCTTTTTGAATGAAAACAAGCAAATGTAAAATGAGATGTTATTGTGTGCATGCTATGAGAGGGGGTTGGTTCTCTGTGATAACTGGTCGCTAGCCAGTAGGTTAAGGAAGAAAAAAGTGTTTTATTATTCATTTTTATATAAATTTATAGGCTTAATATGTGAGAGTGTGATGATGATCTTTCCCAGGATAAGTGTCCTCAATGACGTCGTTGTTCCGCTGCGCGGGTGATGTTGTGTTTGACCACACTGCACCCAGGCCAGGCAGCATCAGTAGCGTGCAGTTGAAGCAGTACTCGGAGACATGCAACTTTCTGCAGTACTTGAAACCCCTCACACCACAGCAGCCATGCTTCTTTGCACAAATCAGAGGCATCGGTAAGTTCAGCTTGCTGGGGATCTACATGACAGAAACCATAAAAAAATTATCAAAATGACAGAAACAACTGATATGTTTCATGGATGTGTTGAATTGATAATTTTTAGTTACATTTCTAATAGAGATAAAATAATCATCCATTTTGTGCAATTGATCTTCAGTCTATGACCTAAGCCACTAGTCTGAAGCTTGAGTCGTGTAAAATTCTAGAAACTCAGAAATATAAGGACCTGTGAAGATTCCGGGGTAGAATAGGTCTTCAGCAACCAATGCTTGCCGTAAAAGGTGACTATGCTTGTCATAAAAGGCAACTAACAGGACCGGGTGGTCAGGCTCGCTGACTTGGTTAATGCATATCATCGATCCCAATTGCGTGGATGGATGCTCATGATATTAATCACTGGATTGTCTGGTCCAGACTCGATTATTTACAGACCGCCGTCATATAGCTGGAATATTGCGCGTTAAACAACAAACCAAACCAAAACAGAAATATAAGACCATATCATAACACAACAATAGACTGAAAATGATGCAAAGAGTCATATTCTGGCTCGTAACCTCAAAAGTTTCGGGCATGGATATTATCTTTCTAGTCCTGGCAAATTCAAATTCCAAACATTCCTCTGAAAACTCAAATTTGATCACAATCTGATCACTTCTACTTTTAAGAATGCCTCCAATCACCAGACTACTGAAAATGATTGAGACTTGTACAGGATCTTGACACATCATACATTGGTAGACTTTCTACATTTCTAATCTTCCCCAACTCATATTTCAGCTCAGAACAGCAAGATCACCCTGGGCATTGCTGGTCCAGACATCGAGGATGATGCTCACCCGGGCAACTGGAACAACTCTGTGGGTTACCATAGCGACACAGGAAAGTGCTATACATCCCATAATGGCACGGCTAACACAGATGGAGAAAAGTTTGGCATTGGTGAGAAACAAATTCTAAACCTGTTTCATTAAATCCAGAGAAAAACATTAAGAAAAAAAGCTATATGACTATTCATTTTGCCGTACAGTTGGTATAAAATGATACATTAAAGAAAAAGAAAACAATGTTTACAGTGTACATGATGTATGTTCTGTGTCTAGGCGATGAGTTTGGAGTGCTGGTGACGTACTTTGGCTCAACCATGTCAACAGTAACGTTTCTAAAGAATGGACAACCAGTTGCCACACGGTAAGCAATGTTCAGCATCAAAGTCAAGAAATTATATATATATATATATATATATATATGATGGTTCGCAGAAGCTCTTACCGCATTTATAATGTTTCCATATAAGACTAAGAACGAGCAGGATGTTGTTTTGTAAATAGTGTCAAAAAAGGTTTCATGATACATTGTTTATCATGATACATATAATTTTCTAGCTCATATGATATGATGTCTTAATACATTGAACCCTGTGTTGTTGCACCTGAAGTATATAATCTGAGAATGTATATGTCATTTTAGTAGTTTATTGATACGTATAATGTGATAAATGTACAATTTTTAACTTATCCTATCTCACACTTTGCATATCTCACTTCTTCTTTCGATCCTATGTGGAAAGGTGCTTGTACAAGTTTTCCATCTTCTTAACACATACCAGCATCACCATGGTCACCACCCAAGCAAATGGGTCATGCACTGTAGTCCTGTGCATACCGACCTACACAACGTGATCACATGACTACCCCTGCCACAACATTCTCTGTTTTAGTCTGTTTTCAGTCGTACAAATGGGTATCTCATACCTCTAGTCGCACGTTAAAAGGAAGCCAGAAGCTGGAATGTGAACAATAAACTTGTTTCCGTCCGGTTGTGCACGCACCTCCCTATGACATGTCACAAATCTCTCAGCGCGCCTCTGAGCTGGTCGCTCGAGAAGGACTGCTAGTTTGTATTCTACTAGTACTTATCGTATGTCTACAGTTGTTGTTCTAATACAGTAATAATAATATGTCTTACCTGTAGACTCCTGGAATGTAATCCTTGGTAATCCATTGTTTGTGTTCAACACGTGTTTCACTGTTTGACTTGATTATACACGTGGCAACATGTCGGGCTTTTCTGCCTCGTGTCAAAGTATACTGTCTAAAGTAGATCCTCACAAGTATTGTCCTTCCTGCATCATTAAGGACGGATTTTCAACGTGTTCGTGGGATAAACATTGTAAAGAATGTGTTTAATAAACTTTAATTGGTATCTTCGTGCGTTGTCGAAGCGGGCTACTGACCAGCGCTACAAGCAGAGTAGGTCATCGGGTGGATCCCTGGACTCTGCAGCCTCTACATCTTGCCCTGACAAGACACGTGACCGTTCGCCTGCTGATGATACTACCCGCACGACTGATCTTCGTATGATCGAGAGCGTCACTCAGCCACCCGTTACGACGGGACCGGCTCGTGACGAGGACCATGAGGGGACTACGATCCCCAGTCTGTCCTACCAACGAGGATAGGTCGACAGTGAACTTGGATCCCACTCTACAAGTCGTTCCCGCCCTGGGACGACTGGTCCAATGCCTCGTCGAGAGACAGTAAACGACACGAGGACGTTCGTCGCCTTCGAGGTTGTCGGGAGTTCGATTCGGACGATAACTACGATGGGGATCGTAGTACTTCTACAGTTAGAGATCGTAGCCTTCGTCCCCACGGGGACATGCGAAGATCTCGAAGGGAGTTTTGGGGAGATCAGCGTCGTAGAGATAATGATCGATCGTCACCCTCTTCTCACTTTCATATCGACCCGGCTTTGATAGGCCAGATCACGGCGGCGGTACTCGCCTTGACGGCGTCGACCGAGATGGGTTTGACTACGTCGGAGGTCCATGGACCATCGTCCTGTACACCGGTTCCTTCATCTACGCCTACACAATCGATGTCGACGATGGATTGTGACGACAGCGTCGTAGAGATAATGATCGATCGACACCCTCGTCTCACTTTCATATCGCCCCAGCTTTGATAGCCCAGATCACAACGGCGGTACTCACCTTGCGGGCGTCGACCAAGAAGGATTCGACTACGTCAGAGGTCCATGGACCATCGACCAATACACCAGTACCTTCATCTACATCTACACAATCAACGTCGACGATGGATTGTGACGACAGCCTGGCTATGGCTTGGCTATCTCACTTTTCTGCCTGAGTTATCAAAAGATGATGACAAACCGACGTGTGCTGGCTTTAAGGTTGGAGATACGCCGCAGTCTCTTCAGTCTTCTCCTCCCAATGTCTTCAGAGCTATGGTTCACGATATGGACCAGAACTTGCCTCTGCTCTGCTGGGGCAGAGTTTCAGCAAACCACCTGTTCGATCGCTTTACCCGATCTATGGCATGCCGTTTTCGTCACCCATGAGTAGGGACTTGGATTGGGGGCGACTCTTCAAGAAACCAGCACCCTCCAAGATCCTTGTAGTAGACAGGCATTGGGGATCCATGGACACTGCTGTTCGTCGCCAGCTACAACCGCTTGCTATGCTGTCGACAGTGAGCCAGCGGGGGAGGTAGTGAGGTCCCTTTCCCCGCCGTCACCGTCGTCGGAGTCTCCTACCTATAGACAAGCTACCGGTAGGGGGGAGACTTCCTCACACGGATCATGAAGACGGTTGTAGAATGGCTCCATCGGCAGGTGATCAGGGTCGCCTTCTACCTAGACGAGCCCTCTCATACGTGCGACAGGCTCACTAAAATACCAGAATTGCAGTAAATTTTACGTGCCTTCATGGTTGAAGATAAGTCACATTATTCCGACTGCCAGCCTGGGACCTCGATATTGTTCTGCGCTACCTGTCTAGTTAGACTTACGAGCCTCTTGATCAGGTCGCGTTCGACATTGTCTCAGAAAAGCCCAGTTCGTGCGCATCGTATTTACCTGCAGCGATCTGAACAGCGACGACAACATTTTCGAAGGCTGTTCATACCGCTCTCAACCAATGCAAAGAAAGAGATTAGACGTAATACTCTCTCCTTTTGGTTGAGAGCGGTCATTCTCAGAGCTTAAGAGGCGCAAGGACTCGCACCTCCCACCTCCTCTCATCTGCACGAAGTTCGAGCCATAGCTTCAACATGAGCACATAGTTTGATCCACTCGTAGTGGCACAACCGATCTCCCAGAAAAGACAGTGAATTTGTGCTTTATTCACTTTGGACTTTTTGCTCAACACTTCGTGCCAGATAACAGGTTACAATAAAAAATGTTGGTGAATGTACGCATTCTTATGGTTTTTGTTGCAAGCAGTACTTCGGCTGTTTAATTATGGTAATTCGGTGTATGCATCATCTTCCCATACTTTATAGTACTGCTCGTATTTTTTAGTTACCTTGTATACTGCGAGTTGCTCTGTAACTAAATTATGCGCCGACCTCACTTTGATCGCAATTCAACTGATGTGTGCAGTTGTCTTGTCACATCGATAATTAGTTGTGTGTCGAAGAGCATTAACCATGCTATTTTTCGTTACCTTGGATACGACGAGTCGTTCTGTAACTACATTATAAGCGAACCACACTTCGATCGCAATTCAACTGACGTGTGAAGTTGTCCTGTCCCGGGTCGAAGAGCATTAAACATGCTATTTTAGTTATCTTGGATACGACGAGTCGTTCTGAAACTAAATTATATGCCGTCCACACTTTGATCACAATTCTACTGTCGTGTGCAGTTGTCCTGTCGCATCTATAGTTACTTGTGGGTCCAAGAGCATGAAACATGCTGTTTTAGTTACCTTGTATACTGCGAGTTGCTCTGTAACTAAACTATACGTCGACCACTTAGATCGCAGTTCAACTGACGTGTGCAGTTGTCCTGTCGCATCGATAATTAGTTGTGTGTCGAAGATCATTAACCATGCGATTTTTAGTTACCTTGGATACGACGAGTCATTCTGTAACTACATTACAAGCCGACCACACTTCGATCGCAATTCAACTGACGTGTGCAGTTGTCCTGTCGCATCGATACTTACTTGTGGGTCGAAGAGCATTAAACATGCTGTTATAGTTACCTTGTATACTGCGAGTTGCTCTGTAACTAAACTATACGCCGACCACTGCGATCGCAGTTCAACTGACGCGTGCAGTTGTCCTGTCGCATCGATAATTAGTTGTGTGTCGATGAGCATTAACCATGCTGTGCGTTCGTGATAAACAATTTGTCTCATCCGTGCATCTGGTCGAATGTTCTATTGTCACTACAGGGGTGAGGAACTTGGTACATTCGACGTAAAAGAGGTCACTTCCTGATTACTTTCCCGACCCTCCTTCCAGTGTTCCGTCAAATTCTACCCATTTGTACGACTGAAAACAGACTAAAACATGGGTTTTTCAGATTAAAAACGATGTGTTATTGGTCTGTTTTCAGTCGTACGTTCCGGCTCAGCCATCCCCACAGGGAAGTAATCCAGACCAGACCTGCTTGATGGCTTATTCTTCGAGATTTGTGACATGTCATAGGGAGGTGCGTGCGCAACCGGACGTTTACATTCCAGCTTCTGGCTTCATTTTAACGTGCGACGAGAGGTATGAGATACCCATTTGTACGACTGAAAACAGACCAATAAAACATCGTTTTTAATCTGAATACCCCAATTTTTCATTGCCACGCTGTCTAGACATGTTTTTTATTAAATATTCTCGTATTTATTCGTGTCTGGTGGATGCTTGCGTGCATCGCCATTCTCCTTGTCATTCCCGGTCGTCATTTCCGCCTCCAAAAGACTCTTCATCTCCCTCATCAACTCCTGTACAGGTTGCTGCTCCTAGTTCCACAGTTCCTTTTCATCCTAAGGTTTCTTCTGTGTTGCCAGACATCGTCCAGTTCTTGTCCTCCCTGGCCGATCTCAAACTTCCGACCCAGTCCAATGATGACACACCATTTGGAGCAACATCAGGATCGACTTCAATCCGGAGATTTGTGTCTCAACCTCGGGGTTGACATCAACAACGAGGCACATGTTTTATCTATAAATGATGTCAGCTATGTCGCCAACTCTCAGAGCTGGATTTCTAACCAGTCTTTGCTATTGTCGTATGGTGGATCAGCATTTCATGGCTTCATTGAAGAATTCTCCACTATCATCGACCTAGAAACCATAGCGACAGGCTCACCATTGTTACTATACCTACCTCAGCTCAGGAAGGAGCATGATCTGTTTCATTGTTCACAGCCTATTTTTCTCGCCTTTTCGCCAACCATGGCCTGTATGCACGAGGATACACAATCACTTTCTACAGTCGTCTCACATTCAGACAACGACCTACCGTACTGTATTATCAAGACTGGTTATTCTATTGCATTGACTATTATGGAAGAATTAACGTGATCTTATTGGAATTTTGCTACAAGTGACTCATAACCACAGTCACTCCCTCACTCACTCTGTCATCAGGCATTGCCTGAATCATATTATATATGTTGGTTTGGAAACAAAAACACATCCCTTATCTACTTCATGGGATCACTGGACTCCTCAGTTTTCATTCTACAGGGTTATCTCTTCGGAACTCGGGATGCCGTTCTTGTTCGTCTGCTATACAGTTCTCTCTGTTTTGTCAAGTGAAGGAGGTGTGTGGGTTTTTTTGCCAATTGCGAGACAAGAACTTGACGGCACTCAGCTAAAAAAACTGGGTATCCGACAGCTTCCTCACTGACGACATTCCCACCTGCGAAGAGAGTGATGTGGCAGGGATTACAGTGCATGACTCATTTGCTTGGATGGTGACCATGGTGATACTAGGATGTGTTTTGGGTGATTACTTTTTAGAAGCTGGAAACCTTGTTCAGGCACGTGCCCAAACATGGGATCGAAAAAGAAGGTAAAATGCATAGTGTTAGGATAAGTTTATAAATATTCAATTTGATGTAAAATTTAAAATGTTTTGGTTAATGTTGTTTTTTTCAACAACTTTTACATTCAACAGGTATTTGTTTGAGACTAATCACAGTCACTTCTTGCCCACCATTGCACTAGAGAACGGACCAATTGACCTGGGTCTCATGTGGCCGGAGACTGTTGTCGGTGTTCCAGAGTTTACTGAGGTGATACAGCTGTTCTCAACTTACCTGTGCTCCATGCTGTAAACTTGAACCCTAGAAAGTGCAGGTGTTTTGTATTCACAGTTAACATTGTGTAACCATGGAAACACCTTTTGTTGTATTACTGTACGTATTAAACGCCTCTTATAAGTGCCCCAAACCAACTTCTAGAACAATCTGTATGTAATCTTTACAAGCGCCCCTCTAATGACTGAAAATTTACAATTCAGTCTCTATTTTTCAATGCCAATTCCTTCACTAGTGTGAGATGCTACATGTCTCATGGGTACAAAATGTTAACAATGTTTTCAGACCAACATGCTTCACTGGATCCGACCGAGCATTGTTCAGTACAGCGTTGTAAACAACATGTTTGTTGTTGGCAAGGATGCTGGAGAGCCAAACATCATCCAGAGTCCACGACCACTAAGAACAGGTAGGCTGGGGGTTGGCCAGAAACTGTTTGGTGTCACATAATGATATAGAGGATATTTGTCCTTTCTTGTCCAATAACATGTTTATGTTTAACTTACCCTGCGTTACTGCTCTTACTACGAAGTCCGACCCGTGAATATTCCGATGTAGAATAGGTCTTCAGCAACCCATACTTGACGTAAAAGGCGACTATGCTTGTCATTAAAGGCGACTAACGGGATCGGGTGGTCAGGCTCGCTGACTTGGTTGATACATGTCATCGATCTAAATTGCGTGGATCGATGCTCATGATGTCAGTCACTGGATTGTCTGATCAAGACTCGAATATTTACGGACCGCTGTCATATAGCTGGAATATTGCTGAGTGCGGCGTTAAACAACAAACAAAACAAAAAAAAATACTACAAAGTCCACGCTGGAAATGAATGACAATCTATCAGCGTCTGCAGTACCGGTAACTCTTTTGCCCAACATGAGCTCCATGACCCTTGTTACATCCTGTATTGGAAGACACTATCCCTGTATGTCTTATTATCTGTCAGTGAACTCTCAGTATCATTGTTATTGTCATGTCAATATTTGGGAGACTAGTAGATAGAGGCATGATAAAAGTACTGTTAGGCTGATATTGGTGGCTAACATTACAGTGGCAATCATGAATAAAAAGGTGTCTGATGAGAGCTTAGTTATCGTTGTAAGATTGCATTTGAAAAATGTAACAATTTGGTAATTTGTCAATGATATCATTTTTTGTTAGGCCAGCAGCATTTTGAGGTGATTGTCCAGGAGACGTCCCCCGAGGGGCGGGGGCCGGGGATCACGCTGGCCACGTGTAGCCCCCTGAAACCCACCCCCATCTGCTCCCTCTCGTCTGACTTCCTCATGTGGCAGGCTAACGGCAAGAGTGAGTACACGTGGCAGTCTGTTTAGGTGAAGAGTTACCACAGATCATAGGTTGTTCTCTTGGTAAACAGATCTAGGTTTGATTCCTTTGTAGTCCCAATATCTGCCGATATGCAGAATAGAATAGAATAGGAGGTAAGGGGTTTGATCCCCAGCCGCGTCATACCATTAGAAGTTAAAAGATGGATCTTGTTGTTACCCTGCCTGACGCTCAGCTTTCAGGGGCTAAAACAAGGACTGGTCGGCTTGGAGTCAGTATACTGTGTCTGAGTGCAGTATTCATGTTAAACTGCGGCATGGTATCTGAGTGGGCTAGCACTATAAAATTGGCATCAGTCTGGACTAGTACAAGCAGCCACTCTCGCACACGCACACGAGCATACATGCACATGCACATGCATGTCGCTGTATTAGTACAATAATCTTGAACGCGACTTTAACACCATTTCACCTGAAATGGAGAGCACTTGGATGGGGAACCACCAGGGAATGCCAACTCTCACCAAGACCTTAGAGATTCCAAATATGCATAGGCTTGAAAATTATTCAATAAAATGTCTTGAAAAGCCTTGAATTTGGCAACGACTACTGTATGTAATTCACTTCATAGATGTCAACAGTTGAGCTCACCTAAAGTGATGACGATATTGGAAACTGGAAACTTTTGTCCATCGTTTGATTTTTCATTATCTTTTTTAAATATGCTGAAGTTCGGTAAGCTACAGAACCTTATGAATGTTGTTTTCCCTGTATCCACCCCAGACTGTAAGGTGATGGTGGGACAGCACATCGGATGGGGTGTTCACTACAACCCCCTCACACGAGACCTGCCTGGCTTCGACTGCAGGGCAGAACAGCTAGTGTTGTGCTACGTCTCCATGGATACCAGGATCGGTCATTACCAGATGATGTTGCAGCCTGCGGGCGGGTTCTACCCTGTTGTTGTCCTGTATAGAGAAGGTAACTGGCTTCAACATGGGTATTCTATACAAGCAAAGACTTATGTCAGTTTGTCTCTTTTTTTTTAATGAATCTGGTTTCATTACGTATGACCTAAACAATTGTTACTTTCACGTAGAATAGACAGTTGATGTGATTTATTAGCATACTCAACCATCCATCAAATGCTTCATGAAATACTAACATTAGAGCATCACAACGGTAGTTGCCTGAACATCACACATAGATATATGCCCTCACTAACACAGTAGATATATATATGTATACTGAACCAATCCCTGAAATCAATCGCTACTATCATGTTCAAACCCTTACAAACTCGTATTCTGGGTGGTCATTTGAACTGTAGGAATGCCAGCAGAAATTTTATAGACTACAGCCGCCTATTTGCTGAACACATTTTTTTTAAGCTTTGATCTATTACTGCGCGACACATTGCTAATCAGCCACAGTATCAATCCCAAACAAACTACTTTACATCCAATCCATTTGGTTCCCATTACTGACTTGATCTCCTTGTTTGTTTGTTTGTTTTTTATTTAACGCCCCACTCGGCAATATTCCAGCTATATAACGGCGGTCGTTAAATAATCGAGTCTGGACCAGACAATCCAGTGATTGATATCATGAGCATCGATTCATGCAATTGGGGTACGATACCATGTCAGCGAGCCTGACGACCCGATTCAGTTAGTTGCCTCTTTTGACAAGCATAATTGCCTTTTAGAGCAAGCATGGGTTGCTGAAGACCTGTTCTAACCCAGATCTTCACGGGTCTTTTTCCTAGTTTGTAAGCACATGAATAGTGAATTGTAACACCCTTCAATTCCCTCCCCTTTTATTCTTCTGTTGATTTATTTCCCCCAAGAAAATCTGTAGCTTTGAAACTTAGAGACACCTCCAGTTACTTGATAGTACAAGTTGCGTGATAATATACAGTAAATCTTGAAATTATTGCAAGTGTGAATTAAATGCAAAAACTGCGAGTGGTCTTTGTTCGCATTAATGAAACTTCCTTTTATGTCTCCAAAATGACTATCAACAATAAGACGGCGTCACTGCACACTTTGGATAGCGGAAATACCAACTTGAATATATACACAAATACGGTTTATTTAGCAGCAGTTGTAACAAGTCCATAACAATGTCATTTAAAGAATAGGAGTTACACAATGGGCATCCGCTGAGTTATAACTGCTGGGGTCAAGAGTTCTTCCCACTCGTGTCAAACTAGGCATCATTGACCACTCCAATCAGTGAACTGTTGTTGGTTCAGTTATTTTATTGCCTTTGAACTTCCTTAATGCCAGTCAACAGAATAAACATATAAACTGTGTGTTGTTTTTTAGAAAACACTGTTTATTGTTATTACCGAAGTGCTCTACTCAGCAATAATAAGCAGCACTATTTTCTGTTTGATTGGATTAAGGTAAGGATATGTATCATTCCACTGGGGATGGGGTGGGGGAGTCTCATTGATTCTGAGTCGCATTTCTGGCTAGGGGTCAGCAGTCATATTAATTTGGAGACACATTGATTTCAAGATTTACAGTATCTTCTGTGTTCCAGCATCTAAAGTTACAGTGGATGTGGAGTCCAACCCCATGCCGTCTGTAAATGACAAGTTGGATGAAGCATTTCTCCGACTCATGGAAGAAGCCAAGCGGACCCTGGCATCCGCTGCAATCAGTTCAGGTGAGTCAGTTATGACACAACCTATAGTGACACCTGAAACGAGTATGGGTTATCAGGTGACAGTGACTCTGCATATCTGGTCTACACACCAACTATTTCACAAAATAGTAGTCACAATACACAGATGTCTATAAGATCCTTCACAGACCATGACCCTGTGATCAAAGGGATATACTGATGATGGCCCATTTACACAAAGTGATAGAACTTTAGCACAGACTTACAATCAGCAATTAGCATTACGTTCTCTTTGTGCATGTGGGCACTGATGAATATTCCATCTTAGGGTTTTGAATTCCTCTTTCCAGATCCATTGGTCAAGCGTTTGAATTCCATAATCTCCATGATTAATAGCCATGCTCATGGATTTCACAAAGTAGTTAGTGTGTGTGACCTATGGCCTGATGTCAGTTTGGGCTCTTTTACCACACTAAGCTGCCGTGAAATTGCTAAAATACTGTTGAAATGACAATAAACCCAACCAACTAACTTTCAGCACATAAGTTGTTATCTTCAATATGTTTTCAGAGATCATCTTGTCCATGTTTCGTAAGTCGGATGCTCTCCAGGTTTTGAACATGGAGAAGTACAGTCGGCTGCGTCTGCCAGCTGAGGAGAAGGGCATCCACGTCATACAGCTGCAGAAACCCTTCAACACCGTCAACAGGAGCTATGTTCTGGAGATTAGGAGACTCAGTAAGTCTAGTCTCTTATTATTCCCATTTTGGCAATAATCACACTATAAAATCTTTAGATTTTTCGACAGACGTCCTCTTCACTGCCAATTATCCCATAGTCTTGAGGTAAACCCTATCCCTTGTCAAACTGCATCTGCACATGCGCAAGGCGGGAAAACATCACTTCTTTCCCGTGTGTGTTGGATCAACAAGCAAAGTTTTTGCTCATCAATCCAAACACGTTTTTCGGTTAATAATTCACAGCTAGTATAAATCTAAAAAGATTACAATAGTCAACCAACAATCATCATTGGATAAAGCAGACAATCTACGATCATCAAGTTTTGCAGCAGACAACCTTCGTCAGTCAAGATTCCTGAAACGGTGGTATAAGAAGCAAGATCGTTGACGTAAGTAGGTAGATTTAGTTTGCGTAGTGTGGGGTATGGATGCCTCCCCACTACTGTACATTAAGTACTTGTAGAAAGAGCATGTGCACGATGCACGATGCACGTACTGCAAGGACTTGTCAAAAGAAAAATTTGACAAGCTTTATAAAGCCTTAAATTGTCCCAAATCAAAATCCAGGAGGAAGACAAGATCATCGGACAAAAAATATGCATCGTTCTCTCCCAAAACCAAAACTAAATCTAAATCAGATGTGGAAAAGTGTTGTGTCTCAGGTAAATTGACTTCCTTAGAGAAACACACGGGCTCAAAAGAGGTGATGAATAAAGAGAACCCGTTTTTTTGTTTTTGAGGGAAAATCACGTTGCTCAACCCACCCGCCCAAAACTAAGGAGCAGGCATCCAGCTCTGGACCGCAGCCTTATGCCCGGGTGCTACGGGTAGTTTGGTCACTCATGGGTTTAAAGAAACATTGGAGCCCAAATCTATTCCATTCTCCCCCTTGAGTATGACTGAATGGTCCAAATCGCTGACAACATCAATGTCCGAAATGTTTGACAAACGTTTCGAAGCGATATCACAGGATATAAATGAACTAAAACAACATCCAGATCTGAAAAATACGACAAGATCTAGGTCACATGATTCAGATAGCAAACAAAAGTCCTATTTACATCGTCACAGGTCAGAAAGTTCACAGGACAAAAGACACGTTTGTATCTAGGGAAAGTAGTCACGATAGCACTATCTCATCCCGTGCTTCTCGTGAAAAGAAACATGTAGCACGAGAATCTCACAGAAATAAACACCATTCTTCCAGGCGGACATATCAATCTTACACGCCCTACAGTGAGGAAAATCGTGCTAAGAGTTCCTATTATACAAAGCGTGCTCCTTCAGCTACAGTCGTACGTGAGAATCGCGTCTATAGCTTGGACAGTTATGCATCACCTAGCTATGCTAGTTATACAGCACAATCCTCGTGCAGCTCGAGGCAGAAATCGCAGCAGAGAGATAGCCATACACCACGTGATGCCGTTTCACCCCGGTGGCAAGAGCCCGGGGGGTACGACCGAGAGGATATTACTGGCGCTTCTCAAGATTGTACGTACGCTTCTCAGGGGGATACTAATAGTACGCTCACGTTCAAACCAAACGACTACTCGTTTAGAGATATCAGCTATGAAATCCATCAATTGATCCCATCTGTAAAGCCCCCAAGCAAGGAGGCAGAGGATCCGGTGCTTATTGAAAGGGCTGGTTATGAAAATCCTGTTGAAAAGAGGGAAGGTTTTCATACATTTCCATATCCATCTTTCACTGAAAATTTGGTCACAAAAATGAATGCGGATTTAAATGCCTCTACCAGTAGAGCCTTTTGCATGCCTGTTCCTCACAAAGGGAGACATTGTTATAAGACCCACAATTGTCCATTCCCCACATCTCCTACCATTGATGATGAATATTTTGATCTGGTCAGACACCCTAATACCAGGATGAATGTTGAGATGAGCAAATTCAGAGATTTTGACTGTGTTAACAAGCAGATGTTAAATATTAGCACATATATGAACTGGTTTGCAGCAGGCATCATATATGTACTTCCCCCTGTTAACTGTGAGGAATTTACTGGCCAACCTTGTGACACAAAAGTTGAGATGAATTTGGAACAAGTTGGTTTAATTCATAGTGCGCTGGATAACATACTGAAGATGCACGAAGATCTGCAATCTGCACAGGTATGGATGTCCACACAATTCCTGCTTACTCAACGGAATCATCTTATTCAACAGGTTAGACACAATATTTCAGATCCACTAAGACGAAGTTTGATGTCTCAGTCGCTATTGGCACTCCAGTTCTTCAACGGCAGACTAACCTGTGTGATTGATGAAATTTCACGCACCACTAATCAGAGATTCCAAAACTCCACTATATCATTGGCATCTAAGCTTAATGAAAAGCGGTCGGCCAACACCCAGACGTGTTATGTCAGGACATGAGTCTTTTCGTGCCTCCACTTGGAAAAACTCATCCTGTTCCAGACCAAGCCGAGGGAGACATGAGTCCCAAAGTAGCAGAGGTCGTGGTCTATCCTATACCAGAGGTAGAGGTAACTGCCGTTCGTGACTCTCTACACCCAAAAATCTCTCAGCCAAACCCTGTCGACCTTGTGATGTTAATGGACCTCGATTACCGGTTACCCAAGTTCACCTTAACGCCTACCGTGGGACCAGTCGGCGGCCGTCTGTCACTATACGCCAAAAATTGGAAGTCAATTACGGACGACCCTTGGCTGATCGAAATGGTAAAAAGAGGGTACAAACTCCATTTACAACAGCGTCCGGAGCTTGTAGTCCACCCCAAAGGACAACGTTTTTATCTAGTAGGGACCAAGTTAGCGGCCGCAACTCTGGCAATACAAGAACTACTAGACAAAGGGGCCATCAGCATCTTACAAAAGGCAGATACTACAAAAGGGTTTTACTCTCCAGTTTTTCTGGTCCCCAAAAAGAACTCTACAAAGATGCGCATGACAATAGACCTAAAGGTACTCAACAGAGATTACCTAGTACGTCCACCAAAGTTTCAAATGGAATCAGTAAAGAAGTTACGAAATTCCCTCAAACTAGGAGATTGGCTAGTCAGTCTGGACTTACAGGATGCCTACCTGCATGTACCTATTCACCCGAGTTGTCGACCCTATCTACGCTTTGCAGTAAACGGCCAAAGGTTCGAATTCAACGTACTTCCATTCGGAATATCAATAGCACCATGGCTTTTTACTCGGATTATCACCCCCATCATCGGCTTCGCTCATCTAAATCTTGTAAGACTCCACAGCTATATAGACGATTTCCTCTCAGCCGATCAAGATCTATTGCAGATAAAGCAGAACGCAATATTTCTGATCCAACTTCTATCTCACCTGGGTTTCATCCTGTCAAGTCAGAATTAATACCAACCCAAGACATCGTGTACAAAGGGGCGAGGTTTCAACTTTCAAAAGGCATTTTACAACCTCCAGAGGACAGATATCTGAGAGCTATAGAAAAGATTCATAGTGCTCTCGACCAACACAGCAGGTCATGTCGTTGGTGGATGTCTTGCCTAGGCACACTGACATCAATACAAGATCTTACTTACAGAGGGAGACTCCAGTTACGTCCACTACAAGCGTGGATGAACACCACCAGAAATATGGACCTGGAAGAGACAATTCAACCTCCTCACAGTCAACTATCGGAACTACGATGGTGGTTTTGGCGTCAAACCGTCCTGCCAGGCATCCCTCTCATGTTCCCCCGACCGTTACACCATCTATATACAGACGCATCAGGCGAAGGTTGGGGCGCACATATGGACGACGTCACAATCCAAGGAATGTGGATAGATCAAGACAAAAAATTACACATAAATTGCCTGGAAATGAGAGCTATTGTCCAAGCAATGAAGGCTTGGGCCCACCTACTACACCACTCGTCGGTACTGATAGCTACAGACAACACCACGGTGGTAGTGTACATACAACATCAAGGGGGCACGAGGTCAGCACCTTTGTTGAAGGAGGTTACGCTTTTATTTGCCTTGGCGGACTCAGTGAGTTGCAGGATAGAAGCACGGCACATACCGGGAAAAGTGAACATACTGGCAGACTGCCTATCCCGGAAAAACAAGATTGTACCCACGGAATGGACTCTCCACCCCGAGGTATTCAAGTGGATAACCTCGACGTGGGATACCCCTCACCTGGATTTGTTTGCCACATGCCTAAACCATCGACTTCCTGTTTACGTCAGCCCAGTCCCAGATCCATTAGCCCTTCAGGTCGATGCCCTATGCATGAGTTGGCAAGGGATGTTTGCCTACGCTTTCCCTCCTTGGTCTCTCCTGGACAGAGTAATAAGGAACATCGAGGACACAGATTGCATCATAACTCTGATAGCCCCAGCGTGGCCCAACAGAGTGTGGTATCCAAGACTGATTCCACTTCTCATAGAAGAGCCGCTCAAACTGCCAGAATGTCACGATCTCCTCCGCCAACCAAAATCGGACATATTTTACGGCAACCTGACAAATCTCCACCTTCACGCCTGGAAACTATCGCAAAAAAGATGCAAGTTTCCGTTTTTTCTAAATCAGCTTCAGTCGCGGTGTCTAGCTCATGGAGACCAGCTTCCTCAGCTATCTATAACGTCAGATGGAGAAAGTTCTGCCAGTGGCGAATAGAAAGAGGGTTGAGTGACGAAAATATAACAATACCTATAGTGGCTGATTTTCTTCTTCACCTGAGAAATGAGAAAGGGTTCAGACATGGTACAACTGAAGGCCATAGATCAGCATTAGCCTCAGTTCTACAACATAATGGTTTATCCATAGGATCTCACCCAGTATTAAATCGACTCATGAAATCGTTTTCACTGGAAGACATTAAAATCCCACACACTTTCCCTAAATGGAATTTATCCATCGTTCTGTCTGCACTGATGGAAGCTCCATATGAACCAATGGCATAGGCTACACTTTTAACAGTTTCCAAAAAGACTGCCTTCCTCTTAGCATTAGCTACAGCTGCTAGAGTGTCTGAGCTTCACGCTATTGATTTCTCAT